TCCTGGCGCTGCAGAGCGCCCAGGGTGCCCCAGCACACGGCTGCAAGCTCGTCCTCGCCGAGTCCCTCTCGGAGGGCGGCGCGAACCAAGTCAACACCTTCCTGGAGCAGCACGGTGGGGCCGGGATCCAGCACGTCGGCCTCCGCACCACCGACATCATCACCACCACCAGGACTTTGCAACAGCGGGGCGCACGGTTCTTGACGCCCCCCACCGCCTATTACAGCCAGGGGGGCAAAGAGGAGGAGATCCGGGGGGCCGGGCAGGACCCCCACACGCTGGCAGAGCTGGGCATCCTGCTGGACACCACAGCGCCTGGGTTTTTTTGCTGATGCTGCCGAGAGCCCTTCCCAGGAGTATTTGATGCAGATCTTCACCCGTCCCATCTTCTCCGAGGAGACCTTCTTCCTGGAGCTCATTGACCGGCGGGGAGCACCGGGCTTTGGGGAAGGCAACATACGGGCATTATGGCAAGCTGTGCAGGTCTACATGGACCAGCAGCAGTGACCATGCTGCAATCCCCCCCTCAGCACTCCAACCCCTCTGGCTGAGCCCCGGGGCAACATGGTGCTGCAGCTACACGGCTCAGGGACCACTGGATGTCTCCAGGTCAACCCAGAGCCAGCTCAGTGGGGAAGCATGTTGCTTAGGGTCAGGTCCAGTGGGGCTCTGACATCACCCTGGGGTGAAGGGCGATTTTTCCCTTTCCTTGCATTCCCAGTGATTTATGGACCTCATGTGAAGAGCTTTCTGCCTTAATTTCATCTTAATTTAATGAGACTTGTGCCTGCAGCATGGCCAGGGACACTGCTGGCACACTACCACCCCCAGAGGTGGGGGGAAGAGGGGCTGCCAGTGGGGAGTGGGTAACTCGGGGGCCATGGCAGCTCATCACTTGTCACCACCCAGAGCACTGGCAGCCCCTCTGCAGGGCACGCAACAGCCTCTCCCTCACCTTAATTAAATAACTTGCAAACACTACTTAATTTTTAATTATTTTTCCTCCTCCCATTTAAGATCTGCCAGTGCCATGTGAAGATCAAAGGGCGTTTCTGCAGCTCAAGGCCATTCCCAGTCCTGTAGACCCTACAGTGAGGGCACGTGCCCCTTGCACAGCCCCAGGCAGGCCACAGACGTAGGGAGGAGGAAAACCCTCGGTACTCCCCTTGGGAAAAGCCTCCTGGGGTCGTGCCTTGCAAGTGTACCGCTGTGCATCAGTCAGGGAAAGCCACAGTGTGAACACAGCGGGAAATAGCCCGATGGAAAAGGTAAAAAAAGGGAGCTAAAACCCTACAAGAAGCCTGGGGGACAACTGCTCGGCCCCACAGAGGAGCAGCCCAGGGGCAGGAGCTGTGTAGCCCTGGGGGGCTGATGCCTACCCTGCTGGCAGAGGTGCTCCGGGTGCCTCATTCGGGGTCACTGGCAGCTAATGCTCAGCCAAGGGACTCGGGGGGCATTGCCCCAGAAAACACTGCTGTCCCCAGCCCAGACGTACATGGCCCAACAGCCACCCGGCTGCCCGACAGCCTGGCGTGGTTTGACCCCAGCTCAGCGCTGTGCAACAGAGGCAGAAAGTCACTTCTAAGTCTCCGAAAGTCTGTGAGGGTTTTTATTAGAAAGCCTGTGGCTCAGGTTCAGTAAAAACAAACGTTTAAAAAGGGCTGTTGGAGTCCGGCAGCACCCAGAGGCAGCGGTTGGCGGCCGAGGTGCATGGGCATGGGATGCACCCACAGCCTTCCTGCTGCTGCACCTCCACAGTGGCAGCTGTACCCGAACTGCTGACCCCCCCGGAGCGCTCCAGCTGAGCAGGAAGGGCAAGCCCGGCCCCGGGCCACATCCAGGACCACCATGGCCACGTCAAGGCACAACTCCCAGGGTGGACACGCTAAGGAGGAGCAGGAGAACGTCACAGAGTGGCAGGCTGGAGGGAGGCATCCCCACGCCCCAGGCAGGACTCACCACAGCAGGGGTCTGCAGTGGTCTCTGCTGTCAGAGGCGGTGTCATGGGGAGGTGGGTGCCCGGAGGAAGGCACGGAGGGAGAGCTGCGTCCCAGGGCGGGTGCTGCCTGCTCCCTGCAGCTTTGCCCCCCGCTTCCGCTTGGAGCCCTGTGGGAGAGAGAGGGCTAAACCAAACCCAAGGGCCCCCACGGATTGCCTTTGAGGCAAAGGGGGTGGGTGAACCCTGGTGCTGGGGACACCCAGGGACAAAGCTAGCTAGGCAAATCTTCCAGACACAGCCTTGCCCCACGCTGGGGAGGCTCCTTGGCCTGACCCCAAAGCCCAGGGGGGCTCCAGCACCGCACACAGGGTTCTGGCCTGCAGCGCTGCCCACCTTGCCAGGGCTGCTCTCCTCCCCGCGCTGCTTCTCACGCGCTTTCAGCACCTGAAGGAAGCACAAGAGAGCCCAGAGCTGAGGGTCCTGGAGCTGGAACAGCCCCAGAGGTTGGGGGGATGCCTGGGACCCCAGGGAGTCAGAGGGAAGGCAGGAAAGGCTCAAGTTCCACCCCCCCACCACCCCAATACCTTCTTCATGGCTGTGGACACGGCTGAGGCATGGAACTCCTCCTCTGTCACCCAGCGGGATGGGGACAAGGCAGGGTCCAGGGTCACGTCCCCATCCAGGGGCAGGGAGTAGACCACATATGTCTGGTGGATGTGGGAGAAGATGTGGACAACCTGCGAGGGGATAGGAAGACATGGAAATGGGCAGCTGGTAGGTAGCAGGGGATGCACTGCTTGCTGTGCTGCCTCACAAGCGCACCAAGTCTGCCAGGGCTCTGAGGAGCATTGCAGAGGGACCCCTCTTTCCCCTGTGCTACATCCCCTGCAGCTGAGTGCAGGGGGCTCACGCTGCATCCCTCCGACTCTAGGCTCACCTCTCCGACGAGCTGCAGGGCTCTGGCCACCACCGGCCACCCCGTGCAGGCCCGGAGGTGATCAGCCAACGCCTCCCTCTGCTGCTCCTCCTGCAGACCCTGAGCCAGCGGGAGGCTGGGGAACTCCCAGAGCCCAGCCAAGAGACCTAGAGAGGGGGCACAACATGGACATGAGCCAGCAAGAGGCACATCCAGGGACACCGAGTCTCATCACATCCCGCTCCCCAGCTGCTCTGTCACCCACGCAGGTGGGAAGCGGCCACGCGGTGCCTTGGCCCTGCTCCCAGCCAGCCCCGTTACCTGAGCTGGGTCTCTGCACGATGAGGTACTCCGGGGTCCCGCAGCAGCCCCTCCGCTCCAGCACACACGTGGCTGTTCGCTCCACCCGTGGCTGCTTCTTTGCAGCTTTCCGAGGGAAGTTGGTCACCCCCAGGCTGCTGTCCCATGGCTCCGTAGCTGGGGGGCATAGGGGACAGCCCCCACCTGCCAACACCGATGTAACCAGCACCGTGGGACCCAGGACCACAACAGAGACCTCTCCGCAGGCTCTTACCACAGTCCTCGACATCAGGCACTGGTGCAGCTTTGCCAAACAGCTTCTGGGAGGCAACGGCCAGCTCCTGCTCCACCTGCAAGGGGGGGCAGGAATGGGGACAGGCCCATCCACCTATCCCAGTGCATGGTGACCCCTCAGGGACGGGGCCTGGTAAGGATGCAGGATGCGATGCCCAGCCAAGAACGGCTTGCAGTGCTGATTCGGGACAGAAGTCGCTCGTAAGAAGCTTCAGAGGGACATGGGATGACCTTCTGACACCCCCCAGGGCAGCTGGCAGCCCACAGCCATCCACAGGCAGGGAGGAGACAGATTTAGGGGCTGTACTTACCCTGCGCCGCGCTTGGCAGTGCTGCTTCACAGGGCACTCCCCGCAGAGCGGGGCCTTGGGGGTGCACACAGTTGCCCCCAGCTCCATCAGGGCTTGGTTAAAGTCCCCTGGACGGCTCCTGTCTACCAGGGCATTGGCCATGTCCCTGGGAGAAACAGCAGGGAGCAGCACAGGGGTCTGTGGGGAGAGGCCCAGGACCTGTGCCCACCTCCTGCCTGCGAGGGGGGATGCTCTCAGGTAGGCAGAGGCAACGTGGGGCCTTTCTGCACGGCCCCCAGCAGCACCAGCTTCCCAAGAGCTCCCACACCAC